AAAGTATCAATAATACTTACATAAATGTATTAATACAATACTTATATAAATAAATATATATTATTATATACATACAAATATATATTATTATATACATACATATATATATAATATTTATTTATTTATTTACTTATATTTACATATATGAATATGCCTCCTCCTATTTTAGGCAGCTGACAATAAAACATCAAACTACAAAGCATAACACATTAAAACATGTTCAATACCAATACATCATGTAAACTCTGAGACAGACAGAATAGTATCTTCCTGATGGAGCTTCTTCTATTATATTGCCCTCTCCAACCTGAAGGGCCACTGGAAACCTATGATCTTAGTGGTTTTCCAAATTGGTAACAGGAAAGAGATCATCTGAACCTTGTGGGGCAGACTATTCCAAAGAACCTGTTGCTACTGAGAAGGTCTGTTTTTAAGCTCTTTCAGAAGGTAAGTGATGGAGGACTTTAACAGCCTGGCATCTGATGGAAGACAAGCTATGCCAAGCAGAATCTTTCCAGGAAACTCCTGACTTGTCTTGCAGACAACTTTTTCCTTCAGATGGAAAAGGAAATGATGGTGGAGCGAGATGCAAGAGGATCAGCCATCTCTGACTTGATAATAACAACAGAAAGCTGTAGGACCTTTTTCTTTGGTTGAGTTAAAGTACTATCATATTTGAGTTGGCAGATAAATATACCAGCATGAAATCTGCTGTCTCCATTGCCAATCTCAACTGAAGGAGTAAAACAAATACCTGAACCAAAACCTCCAAACGATCAAGGCCCTGAACTCAAGTAAACCTCCTTAATAGCTTGCTTAGGCATTTGCAGATGCTGGCATGTAAATTATCTAAAATCAGCACTTGTATTTTTTAAAATGGGAACTAGTAAGTAACCAACCACAAAAACTGACTAGTGCTGACCTCCTCTTTATTATTCTGCTTACTCACTACAATCAGAAAAATCTAACTCATGTTGTAATTGGCATTTGACATCATTACTGGTCAACATTTATGATACAATTATATAAATGCTGTTTGGGCCCTCCTTCCGGGGGCAGAACCCTAATCCTTTATTGGGCTCAATGGTGTTTAGTCATAAGTAAATGCCCATAGAGCTATAGTCTTATACTCATATGAAGCTAATGTATAAAACCAGAATTAAATCTGGACCACCCACATCAAAGTATCTCATTACTGGAAACATGCACATTGTAGTCATATAAAAAATTCCAACTAGTTGAATTAAAAGAATGGAGATTTTCAAAATAAAAAGTACTTACTTTAGTTACAGGAGAGAGTACTTCTACATTTACGAAGACAGATGATACAAAAGGCAATCTTTTAATCCTTTCTAAAAGAAAATGATTGATAGTTATTTTTGCAACAGTAAGATCTAATTATTTTTGTTTTTAGAAGTGAAATAATATTCAAACGCTACAATTATTGACTCAGGACCATGCTTCAAATACTTATAAATCAAATCTCTGATAGCTTATACTCTCAAGCTTGGTATAGCATCACTGTGTTAAAAAAATTTAAGATGTATAACACGCACTATTATATTTCTAATTTATCTGAAAACTGCAAGTAAAAGACTTTTAAAATATGACAATCTATTTTCATTACAAACAAATATCTGGCCCAGGTTTCATACTAATAGAAATATTCAATGTAAAATCATATCATAGGATATCATAGGATCTTAACTATAAAATGAATTATTACAGATAATCTTACATTAAAGGAAAAAATAGGGTCTTTTGGCCTCAGAATTTTGCATTAAGTCATGTTTTGGGCTTCATTCTTACCAGTTAAAAGTTGAAAATTTCCTTTGTTAAAGATAAATTTCTTGTCAGGAATTTGTATAGGCAGAATGATTTTATCTATCACTGTCCAGTTTTGAAGGGTGTTTATCAGAGCAACAGCTTCAGCAAGCTGCAGTTCAGCTATAATATCAGGAAAAAATGTAATTGTAACCATAATCACAGAACACATATTTCTAACATATGCTTATCTATAAACAACTACAGTAAAAAATGGATGTAACGATACTTTGGAATATTCATTTCTTTGAAATTAAGGGCAAAATGTTACAGCAAGATAGAATTTCATTAGCAGCCTTTCTCTATATCAATAGCACAGCCATCAGTAAAATGTCAATGCATTCAAGTTTGAATACTACAAATGATAAAACATACAAATTGGATCAAACAGTGGCTCCCAATCTTTTATGTTATGAGCACTATAATAGCAACAAAGGTTTCTGAGAACCACCATATAAACCAGTTTGGCAATGTGGCACTTGCAGGCAGCATATGATGCCCGAAGATGATGTCCATGGAACCCCAAAATTCAATAAAAATGGCCACATTTAAAAAAATCAAATGGCTGAAATCACACATTACCAAATTTCATGAGATTTTGATGTTCCTGTTTAAAATCTTTTAAAATGAGCAAAAAAATCCACAATCTTGCAAAATGTGATGATCTCTCAAGATTTTGGCCCTTTTAAAAAAAAAACGTGTATTTGGGTATCGACACTACTGATACCTGCAGTAATCTTAAAAAATAAATAATATTGTTTTGAAATGACAATCCTGTATTTATATTTGGTTTGCCATTTTTAGAGTGGCTGGGAATGGGTGAAGAGTACAAACACATTTGGGATTATTTGATTAATGTAAAAAAGAAGTTCCTTCTTTAGTCTATTCTAAAGAACCTGGGACAAAAGGAGCTATGCCCTTTCCCCAAACAAGACCACCAAACATGGCTAAAGTGTAATTTTTAATATAATAAAATAAATCACAACCGGGGATTTATGTTAACTAGATTTTAGTTAAATTTTAATATAAATGAAAATAAAGTTTCCTTTTGTTCCCATGCTATTCCTTTCTGAGCAGCAGCTCAATATTTAATTCAGAAGCTAAGTGGGAAAGTTAAGTCAGAAAAGTTGAGCATGTCTAACATACTCAGTTTCAGTACTGAGAAGTGAATGTTTACTACGGTGAACTACCAGATTTGGGCTGCAAAAATTCGAATGACCACTGGAGGGTCTGCTGTCCTCTAGGGATCGTCCGGATTTCTGCATCTCAGATCTCATAGTCCTACGCTTGGTATTCCTTGAAACTGCCCCATTTTCTGAGCCGGTGATGCAGAAAATCCAGAAAGTGGACTAAACCCACAGCAAATAGCAACACCATCTTTCCGTTACCAGAAATATTATGGCGCAACTTCGAAATAAAAAATCATTCTGAGAAAAGCTGCAGCTTTTACTAACTTAGCCCTGTCCTATCACTATCCCATGTTATTTATAATCGCGGTTTATTAACACCCCTTAATAGCCGGCTCTTGCTTCTGAGGTTCTCAGCATTTGCACAGCATCCAAGTGCGCCAAGTCCTGCATGCAGTAACGCCCTGAGCTGCATCTCGGTTGGCCTCTCTACGCAGTCACGGTGACACTCCTGATCAAACCTGTGGTCAGCTTCGGCTTGTCTGGTCCCCATTTCACAGCCGGGTGTACAATAAACACTCTTTGCGTCTCCAGCGTGATAAGCGGCAACCTCGATTGCTCCAACTGCTGGTCCTCTACGTCCAGGTCGTCGTCGTCGTCGTCTTCGTCGGCGACGACGTCCCCCTCATCGTTGTCTTCCGCCCCCCAGGAAGACAACGTCCCCGCCCCACTCTTTCCCCTAGTAGGTCCATTGCCAGATGGCGGCTGACGGTATCTGACAGCAGAGGCGTGCCAAAGCCTAACGGGATCACGCCCGAGACAGCTAGCTGGCAGCAGACGAACCTCCAGGAGTAATTTCTGAACCAAGCGCGGCAATTGCCGCCACCGGGAGCCCATGCCGATCAATATTTGCAACACTCATTACATTCCCCAAGGGGCTCCACCTCAGTTTTCAAGCAAGACTTGGACGGAACGAAAGCCACTTCTTCTTTGACCCCACCGGTTGGTGCACCACGCCTAGTAACCCCGCCTCTCGCCGCCATTCTTTCCCTCCCGGCGCAGGAAAGAACCCCCGAGGGGCGGGGTTTGAAAAAAAGCCTCTCCCTTTCAGGTAATTACGCCTCAATCTCTTCGGGGGGCGCGGCTGTCACATTCCTTTCTCATTGGGGGGGTCGAGGCACGTGATGGGTGAGCGACAGGGGGAGGGCGGGCCCTGGCCCTGGCTCTGCGCCCGGGATTGATTCAGCGGCAGGAAGGCAGCTGCCCAGACTGACGCCGGGACCGCCCTGCTTCGTTCTGGTCCGAATCGGGTCCTTCTCTGGACCGGCGCAGCCCGCTGGGTAGGGGGCGCGCGCGGGTGCCCGGACGCAGGGCTGGGCTTGGGGCGAGGCGGGACGGCCGCGCGTGGAGCCTCGCTTGCTCCCTCTTTGGCTCTCCCAAGCGGTGGATCCCGCGGGTTTGGCAATAGGCGCCCTCGTCCCCCCCAGCCTCCCTCGCGTCTCTATGTCGCTATTCCGCGCCCTCCTTTACCGTTGTTAACATCTTGTAATCTGTAGCCCCTCTTCTCTCTCAGATGATGGTCCCTTCCTTCCTTCCTTCCTTCCTTTCAAGGCTGTTTCTCTTGCAGAGCGAAAAGTTCCACGGCTGAGGCTTTGTTTAATCCCCCTTCACGGTCAGATCCTACCTGTGGATTCTTTGTGCTTCTCGCGCACGAAGCCTAAAGCTGGCGATAGCGTCTTTTTGTAATTTGGGAGGGGTTTGTTTTGGTTTGGTTTTGCAGCCGACTTTATTTTACAGGGCAAGGCAGACACCTTCCTTCGTGTACATTGCTGCCATGTTTGTATGTTTGCCTTTTCATTTGATTTGCACTCATGGTAATGTGTCTCCTTTCTTGCACTGTACGCACTATATGTTGTGCAGCTTTGCACACGGTTTAGGCTTTTATTTTCAGGGACACGTTACACAGTTTTATGTGTTCTGTTGCATCATAACAAAAGAAGTAATGTTCTAAACTTCAGAGGAAGAGCTGTAGAAAGAGCTTCCTGTCTGTCAGATCTCAGAATGGTATATACTGTACAGTCTACCCTTCCTTAAGCTCTCCAATGTTATATGTTTATATCATGCCTCCACGCACAGAGGTTTACATATTTTCCACACACCCTCCAGCTTGGAAGGGGGGGAACTCTCTATTTTTACGGTGTATATCCTCTGTGGTATAGTCTGTATATTTAGATGACGATATAGTCATCTAAAGTGCAAAGGTCCTTGAGTTCCAGTAGAGGGTTTGACTGTCTGGTTACCTACATCTCGATGATTCCCAATCAGGATAAAACTGGTAATAAGGTGCCTTCTGGTTCTAACAGGTGTAACTGTAAGAGTGTTTCATCAGGGGACAAGTTATTAGGATGATTGTGGTAATATTTTCAATACACACTCACTGAAGAATGTGAGAGCAGAGGAAAAAAAACCTCTGGACCAACATTCTGCACAGGCACATGCAGTTTTCCTTTCTGACAATATGATGTCCAGTGACTCAACCACATGGAAGTACCTTTTAGCCATTGGTGGTATTAGCAGTTGCTGTATTGGTCCTCTGAGTGTTGAGTCCTTTTGAAAATACTGTAACATTAAGAATAATACTTTCAAAATTCAGTTATACATGGAATGAAGGTGTGCTTTTTTTTGGTCCTGAACATAATATCAAAATAAATGATCAAAATAAAATGAGAGGGAGAGGGAAAAAAACACCTTTGTTCATACCAGCTTCTTAGTCTTCTTTTTCCCAAAGCTCCACATATTTTAGACTTGATTCATATGGAAGGTGTTCTGACTCATATTTGATCATTGTTTCCTGCATATTGCCCAGAGTTATGTGGGGTGGGATGGGATATAATATTCCAAATATAACTCAGATAGATTTGTATAACAGCTTTATATGGCTGATGTTTTAGGTGTAGTCCTTTTCCTAATAATATTTAGCATGAATTTCCTTTTTATTCCCCAGAACTTACCAAATAATTTAGATAGTTTATCCTTTGACTTTATTTTACTAGCAGAGTGTACCTCAGTTTTTTATTTTTCCACATTTTTTGTTGACTTGGCCAAGACTTGCACTGTTTTTTTCACTTGGACAAAGACTTCCATTGTTATAGGAAGCTGTTTTTCCTTTTATAATTTCATTGATTGTGCCTCTTAATCACAGTGGGAGGCTCTCATACCTATTGGTGCCTTTCCCAAAATGTACGGTAACTCCTAGCTGAGCATCTATTACTGTGGTTTTAAATAAACTCACAGATTTCTTTAAAAGATTTGAATCTCTTAAATCCTCATTGCAAGGTTGTTTTAGCAATTCTATTGTGTTTGGAAAACCATTGTTAAATGTGACTGGATGGAACTTTTAGGACCATTTTTTCTATCACATTTGAATACAGTGTTGTAATTGTTTCAATGGTGCTTACACTTCATTCCTAATCAGAGGCATCATCCAGAATAACGCTTAAGACTGACACTTCTCCAGTTTTTTAAACTCTCTAGATTTGTTTACCTAAAATGCCATGTAATATTTACATGCTAATTTTGATTTTATTAATTAATTCCCAAGATGGCTTACTTAACAAAATACGGCCACCCCAGTATTCTAAAATATCTTAATACCCTTGTTATTTTGGACTACTTGTTACATAATCTAGATTTTTTGTGTTATGGTTATCCTGTTCTCTGACTTGATGGCCATACTGGCTGTAGGTTTGTAGGACATGGTAGTTTGTTCCTGCACAAAAGCACCCACTAAGCCTTATCTGCATCAGAAATGAAAGTGAGGGAGGACATGGAGATTTTGAAAGAATAGTATTACAAAAAGTGCTCCCTTCCAACTCTCTTAATTACTCTTGGTTCATCTGGGGCCTGTGCACACTTGCCAAGATAACCCTCTGACCTGAAAACACATTAAAGAGCACCAGTCTGAATAATGGAAGGTCTGTGCAAAGAGCCTTGGGCATCTGCAGGGACAAATGATGTGTGCAATTATGTCATCATTCAAATGCAGTGACTTATGTACACAAGTACATACTGGCAGCATTTGTGTGATGTTGTCATTATGTACATGTCATCATTTTGGTGTTACTGTAATTTGCTGAAGACCACATTGTAGCAAATTTGTTGCAGTCTGAACGTACATTTCCCTGTTCATTATGTGGGTTGCTCTCACACATACATCTGAGCAGCGTACTTTCTGATGTCCATGTGTTAACGGATCTTGACAATAAGGTATTGTGGTAACTTAGCCAGTAACTTTGCCCACATGAGTTTATTTTAAAAGAGGACTGTGTTTATTGAGTAAACTTGTAAGCACAAAATGAAATGATTTTTGTTAGGGGATGTAATAAATACATTCTCATAGGAGTCAGCTCAAGTCAGAATGTAAGCCAAAAGGAAAAGAACCCTATTAACTGGAGACAACACTAGGTTGTATCTTTTGAATGGAGAACTAAATAGGGAGCAATTGGGCTGGAGGAGGATGAGAACTCAAGCCGTGGTTACCCAAGTCTGGTTAGGACTAGCAGGAGACAAAATAATTCCTAATTTAAAGGTGTTAAGATAGGAGAAGCTAAGGGTGGCTTGTACCTGGAGATTGCTTGGCTTAAAAGGACTAAGAAAAAAGAGGAAAAAGAGAGAGAGGAGGTAAAATTTGGGAACAGGATTTCCGTTACATTCAGATCAGATCTTCTCTATTATAAGGATGCTAAATCTCTTCCAGCTTCTGTGAATTAGGATTTTTAGAGTCATAGAACTGTACTTACATGTTATACTACAGCGAAGGGTGGACAAAACATGGCTTGCAGGCCAAGTACAATTCCAAGCACCCTGTTTACACCTTGTCTATATCTCTCAGAGCTCCTTTCCCCAAAGTGAATGTGGGGATAAAATTTGAGATGTTTTGTTTTGTGTTTTGGGGAGGTTTGTGTGGGTTTTTAAGGGTAAAGCAGGTGCTATAAGACTCAGCACTACTTTGCTCAAGAAGGGCACAAAGGCAAAAACTACTACTCCAGCAAAAACAAAAAGGTTTAGAGCTATTCCTCCAAATTTTCTAGAAGACCTGGATAGGGCAGAACTGGCTGGAAAAAAATACTTAGTAGAAGGAACAACAACATTATAATAAAAGAGCTTGAATATTATACAGTCTTGACCAAGTGGCTTACCCAAGTAGAATCCGTACTACTGGACATGTTTCAGTTAACATGGTCAGAAGTGGAAAAGATACAATGCATATACATACAGACATATACAGTTATCTGTATAAATATATGTGCCAGGTAAGAGAATAGAAAGCAAGGATGGAAAAGCTACAATTTGTAAAAATACATCCTCCCAGAAAATAGATTAGGTGCAACATGGCTTGAAAACAATGATAGCAGAAAAAGTGATGGCAGCTCCTTTTAAGAGCTGGAGCTCGGAGAGGAGAAAACTGAGGCAGATTAACAGGTAGATTGCAGCAGTAAATACTTTCCCCACATTTTAATTAAAATTGCAAAAGCTCTGAGGAATATATGCTTCCTATGTTCAAGGAAGCATGTTTCAAATCCTTAGGAGTATTGGAGACCCTTGACAGGTTGGCATACCATCTAATGTTTTTTGCACGGGATGTTCACCTTCAGTTATTCAGGAGAGGGTCTGGCAAAACTAAGCATGTACACAAGGAGCTAAAGGTGTCACTGAAAGCTGCTATGGCAAAATTTTGTTTTTTCAGGGTATTGTAGTGTGCATGCTTCAAATAGTGCCCCCCCCTTTCTTTCTTTCCCCTTTCAACCTTCTCCTGGATACTTGGATCTACTGGGTCAACAAATTATATACATCAGTTGATTGCCGAATCATAGCATCTTGTCTGAGTATATTTATAAACCTTGCAAAAAGAGTCTGTTTCT